CCAAACCTCTCTATCCACCTTGCCCAAACCTCTCTATCCACCTTGCCCAGGTATGTTGGCATTTTATTAGTTAAACAGAGAGGCAAAGTTTACAACATCATTTGGGGAGTGTGTGTGTTCGCTTGTAACAAGCAGTCCTCAGGGGTGAAAGTGATTAACTTTAAATTAGACAGAACCAGATCAACCTCCAACACTGGACCCTTTCTACATAAAAGCTAGGCATGTCAGCATACATCTAGAACTTGAGTACTGGTTGGTGGTGGGTGAGGAGGGACAAGTGAGTCTATGGAGTTTGTTTCAAGCCAGCTTAGATAAACTGATGAGTCTAGGTTCAGTAAGCTACCCTGTCTCAAAAGACAAGGTGAATAGTGATCAAGCAAGATAATATACTCTTGCCTTGCCTCTGTGCACATGTGCACATGCCTCCACATACACACACCATGTATACAGATAACACACATACATATGCACACAAAGTTTCAAATCAGCTACTTGGATTATAAAACAAGACCAAAGAAATGCTGACAGCAAGAAACTCACATTCCTCACGAATTCATACACAGACTAAAAGTGAAATACCAGAAAATTATATTCTAAGCAGATTAAGCGGAAACAAGCAGGAGAATCTATATTCATATCAAACAAAACATACAAGACAAAATGTTCAGAAGAGACAAAAATGAGGTCAGTTTATATGGACAAAAGAAACTGTGCTTTCCATCACTGAAAAAACTGAAAGAATTTTAAAGAAGAAAAGGTTGATTTTGGCCCATGGTGTCAGAGGTTTCAGCTAATGCTAGTTTTCTCCACTGCTTTGGCATTGGAGGTATGCGAGACAGAAACAGCATGGCAATGAATGCAGAAGCTGTTCCTTTAATAACAGAGAAGAAGCAGAGGGAAGAGATATGGACAGGGCAAGATACAGCCCCTAGAACATGCCTCCAGTGAAATATTTACTGTAAGTAGTACCCATGACTTAAGATTACCAGTACCCCCGAAAACAGGTCCATTATCTGGGGACCAAGCCTTTAGCCCATGAGCCTGTGGAGAACATTTCACATCTAAACCATAAGAGGAACAATCCAGTAAGGAGACATATGGTTATAAATATGTGTAAATTGAAAGTCGGATCACTCAATCTTATTAAACAAATACTACACAGAATAAAAGGAGATAAAGATACAATACAATAATAGTGGGTGACTTTAGTATCCCTGCTCTCACCACCGGATAGATCATCATGACAAAAATATCAACAAAGAAACATTAAATATACTAACGGTCAATGATTTAACAAATATCTACACAATATTCCATACAACATAGCAAAACACACATTCTTTTAGTCAACACATAAAACACTATTTTCCAAAACATATTTAAGTCATTAATACAAGCTTTACAAATATAAAAAATGCGAAATGGAGAAAAGAGAGGGAAAGAAAGTATAGGGCAACATAATCTTTTTAATTCTTGAATATCTCTAAAATGTATTAGATGCAAAAAAACATAAAAGATATTTAAAAATTTAACTCAAAAATATATTTAAAAAAATATCATCTAGCTGAGTGTGGTGGTGCATGCCTATAATCCCAGCACTCAGGAGGCAGAGGCAGGAGAATCACTGTGAGTTCGAGGCCAGCCTGGTCTACAAAGCGAGTCCAGGACAACCAAGTCTACACAGAGAAACCCTATCTTGAAAAACTAAAATAACCATCATCTAACATCATTAAATCAGTTTTATAACAAGGATGCTAGGATGGTTTTTACATTTGCAAGCCAATACATTTAACACAGAGTATAAACAGAATTAAGACAAAAAATGGCATGATCATCTATATCAATGCAGAAGAAAGCTATGAAATGAAATTATATCATGTGGAAAAATTAAAACTAGAACTTGAGGTCATCCTGCTGAAAAAGACGACAAAAGACACAGAAAGAAGAGTATGTGTTGTCTCATACGGAGACTAAAATGACTTTTTAAAAAAGACCTAAACTATTGAGAGTAGTGCTAGGAAGGGGCAAGGGACTGGTGCAAAGATGAAGAGGGTGGGTCAGATAAAGATGCAGTATAATATAATGTATGGAAATGCACAATGGTAAGTCTTTCATGTTAACCAATGTGTGATTCCAGTCAAAGTTTTGTTAGAGAGGTAAGAAAGCCCTCTAGCTTTGAAGTCTGAAGGAGAGAGAAAACACTGAGTATCTACTGTCATAACGTCATCTTGAAGCAGCTCTTCTGCACAGTAAACTAGTTAGGTTCCCTTTAGCTTTCTGGAATATGCTGCTGTCCTACTTGGCTTCATTGTTGTCATCATTAGTAATACAGAACAGGTTGAATGAATAAGCCTGCTGCATTTCTCAGTTCTGCAAATTTTATTTAAACATTTTTCCATATTTAGGATAAGGAATTAATCGCCTCCCATGACTCAGTGTTTCCTCACAGGAAGGGCTTTTTAAATTAGAACATGAAGATTATTGACTATGTCAGATGTGTTACTTTTTGTCTGTGGCTTTTATTGGTACAGGCCGTCTGTGTTAATGCTGTGCTTGGAAAGATAAAGAGCATTTTCCAAGAAGAAGAATCCATAAGGCAAAATAGAGAGAGTGAGAATTTTCGGAAAGCCTTTTCTGAGCCTGTGCTTCCAACGCCCGTATTTTCTGAAGGTGAAATCAAAGCGAAACCTTACAGGTCATTGCCAGAGAAGACTGAGAACCTTGCAGGCCACCCCAAGCCTCCTGCCAACAAGCAGAGTAACAAGATCCAGGTTTTACACTCCGTGTTTGACCAATCAGCTGAGCTGAATGAATGAGAAATATGAACAGATACCACTTTATAGAGAGTGCAATAGTTATCTATCCACATGCATTTCATCAGACATACCAGAAGACCAGTTCAGATATGCTGAATGCTCTTTTAAAAGGGGATAGAGCAGCAAAAAGGCTATGGCATCATTCTCTTGTATTTATATGACAGAGACAATAAAATGAATCTTGACGTACAATATATGTATGCCTATCCAGTGTTTTTAACTTTTATTTTCATAAGTATATGTGTAGGTATCTGCACAGGCCAGAAAATAGTGTCAGGTCTCCAGGAGCTGCCTGACACGGATGCTGGAACCCAAACCTGGTCCTGTGGAAGAGCAGAATGTGCTCTTAATCACTGACCATACTGTTATAGAAAATACTTAGCCATACAACATTTATAATAAGAGAATTCATATTCTGTTGTATTCATACTGTTTATAATATAGATGTATTCAAATTCATTTATATGTTAAGAATTGTTTTGAATGTTTATCTGGAAAGAAAAATATCATAACAAAATGCTGTATATATTTAGGGGCTGGAGAGATGGCTCAGTAGTTAAAAGCTCTTGCTGCTCTTGCAGAGAACCCAGATTAGGTTCTCAGCCTCTCTGACTGAGAACTGTCTATAACTGCAGGCTCTGATGCCCTCTTCTGGTGTGTGGTGCATATACATACAGGCAGACAGAAACTGTTTAAAACAATGCTTACATATCTTTTTCAGAGAAAGTAAAAAAAAAAAAAAGTTTCTATTTGCAGGCTCTAGAGCTGAGTCCTCCTCCTGACTCACTTGTGAAATTATAAAGGACTTGATGTTTATAGATACAAAAGCTTATAAAACAAAATGTTACTTGCAAATCTGGGGAGATTTATGTGATAGGACAAGATGTGATAAGGTTGTTATTTGATAATAGAGTTTGGCTATATCCCCATTCCAGCTCTGAATTTCTGGGTCAAATGATCCTATTACCTCAGCCTCCTGAGAAGCCAGGACTATAGGCGCTTGCCACTGAGCCTGGCAAAATGACCACTTTTTTTTTTTTTTAAAGATTTATTTATTTATTGTGTATACTGTGTTCTGCCTCCATGTACACCTGCAGGCCAGAAGAGGGCACCAGGTCTCGCTGGGAATTGAACTCAGGACCTTTGGAAGAGCAGCCAGTGCTCTAAACCTCTGAGCCATCTCTCCAGCCCCAAAATGACCACTTTTATTTCCAAATTTAAAGACAAATTAGAACAATGAACCCAGTCCATAAGTGGCAGTCATCACTTCCATTGGCTCATGACAGAAATGCTGCTATACATGGCCCTATAAACTGAGGTCCTAGTTTTTGCCTAAAGGAATGACTTTGATTTCTCCAGGCACTTTACACTCTAACACATGGTAAAATTTTGTGGCCGGTAAATCTCCCCTCAGAGATGGCACATTTCTTGAACCCCATGAGTAGCTCAGCTGTTCGTGTAAACACTATTGAAGCCCAAACCTGGCTTATTAGTACTTCCACAAATAAGTAACAAATGTCTTCTATCACATAACCCATATCCCAAAAGAAAAGGAAATGCAATAATTCACAGCAAAAGGTCCAAGCACTTGTGAGCCAAACTTCAGTCCTCAGAAAGAGCAGCAAGTACACTTAGCCACTGAGCCATCTTGCCAGGAATCCCAACCTCTCCACCCCAACCCAGGTGAAGTCCTTTAGCATGCTAAGTACTAGGTTAAGATACTTAACTCACCCAAACCATGAAAATTCCTATGCTTTGAGATTTGGTTTTGTTTTTCAATGTATTCGCCCTGAATTCATAACCTACACACCCTTTCTGGCCCCATTTATACCTCCATTTTACTGAGTGCTAAGTTCTGCCTGACAGACACCCAGGGTGTTACCCTAAATCCTGACTAACAATAGGGTCCCAGGCAGCCGGAACAGCCAGGCCACAAATAACTGGTGTAGTAAAACCAGGGCAAGCCAAGTGAACATCAACCCTGCTTGTAGATGCTAAGCAATGAGATGATCCATCTCTGCTGCCCACACATTTATGGGAAACTAGATGTTCCCCACGCACCATGTTCTCTAAAATTCTTTTAAACTTTTATTTGAAAGTACTTTGGCCTATTAAATAGGAGGCTTTACATCTGTCTTGGCTACAGTGTGACAGTGTGTGGCCTTTTTACTTCAAAAATCACCCCTGACAAGAGACAAGTCAAAGATGGGCAGTGGTGGTATACACCTTTGATCCCAGGACTCAGTAGGCAGAGGCAGAGGCAGGTAAATCTCTGTGAATTCGAGGACAGCCTGGTATACAGTTAACTCCAGGATGGACAGGGCTACAAAAAAATTCGGCCCCCCCCCCCCAAAAAAAAGAGACATTTGGTTTTGACATCTAGCACCCGCAGCCCCCTGGATAGGGTCTCACTATGCAGTGCTGGCTGCCTGGGGCTATGTAGACCAGGTTGGCCTCAACTCATAAAGATTCTTCTGCCTCTGCCTCAGAATGCTGGAATCAGAGGTGTATACCACCTAGCTTTAAGTTTTTTGTTTTTTATGTTCAAAATATACATTGCCCTCATGTTTTGGAGGCAATTTTAACAAGTAAAACATGTTAACCATTTGTAAGCAAAAGTACACAACTAAACTTTGGGAATCTCAGTGTACTTAAATTTTACTTTTAAACCTATAAAAACCATAATTAGAGGGGGTAGGCAATCTGTGGACATAGCAATGTGAAAAGAATGCTCGGAACTGGTGAAGCAAGCGATAAGATTCATTCTGCTGTTAACTTTGACCATATGAAAACTTTCCAAAATAAAACCTGCTGTATTTAAGGGGGATCTATTTTCCATTTAAACTTTTCCTGTTTTCTGTTTTATCTGTTATGACTGTGTTTACTCTAAGTTATCTCCATCCTTCTTAAGCTGATTATCTCAAACCTATACTGTACAGATTCCAATCAGTCCTGAGACAGATGGAAAGTACTCTACCGACATCATCAGGCCCCTGAAATCATACCAAAGTAAATGTGCTTTTAGACCTCCCAAATCCAAAACTGTAAGAAACATCTGCTTTTATTTTAATTTACGTGTAAATGACTTGAATGTGCAGGTGCGCACAGAGGCCAGATGAGGGTATCAGATCTCTTGGAGTCAGAATCACAGGCCACAGGTGACTATGAGCCACTTGTGAGTGCTAAGAACCAAACTCAGGTCTTCTCAAAGAATAGCAAGAGCTCTTAGACACTGGCCCTTCTCTCCAGCCCCTGACAAAATCTGTGGTTTTTGAAGATATTTGTATATATGTTGGAAAAAATTCATCTTTGAAACTGAAAAAAAAAAAAAAAATGACCGAAAAGTCTTTTCAAACATACACATTTTTGTTGTTGTTGCTGCCATATATTTTTTTATCAGGAAGAACTTTGAATCACTTTGAATTCTCCAGTGGCATAAAAATCAGAGTCACATTTAAAAGGTTCCTTAGAAAGTGTGACATAAATATTGCCATTATCCACCGTCACGGTATGAATCCTTTGCTTTACGCCTTTGGAGCACCACTTGGGTTTTGCTGATGGGTCTTTAGGGTTTATAGACTGATATAATCCTTCTCCTGTTGCCAAAGTGATTTTGTATTTATGCCAGGGGCAAACTATGCATGACTGTCCATTGAAATCCTGGAGGAGAAAAATAACAGATTAATACTCTTGACATTTCAAGTGTATGACAAATCTGAGTTAGTTAAGAATCCAATGCAGGAGAGCTGGGTTAAAGAACAGCTTCATCTGGGCACAGGGGTCTTTTCTGAGACTGATACTCCAACCAAGGACCATGCATGGAGATAACCTAGAACCCCTGCACAGATGTAGCCCATGGCAGTTCAGTGTCCAAGTGGGTTCCATAGTAATGGGAACAGGGAACATCTCTGGCATGAACTGATTGGCCTGCTCTTTGATCACCTCCCCCTGAGTGGGGAGCAGCATTACCAGGCCATAGAAGAAGACAATGCAGCCACCCTTGATGAGATCTGACAGACTAGGATAAGAAGGAAGGGGAGGAAGACCTCCCCTATCAATGGACTGGGGGAGGGACATGGGTGGAGAAGGAGGAGAGAGGGTGGGATTGGGAGGGGAGGAAGGAGCTACAGGGGGGATACAACGTGAATAAATTGTAATTAATAAAAAATTAAAATAAAAAAAAAGAACAGCTCCAGGAGCAGGCATGAACCTGTCATCCCAGTACTGAGGAGATGAGGCAGAAGGACCTTGAACTTGAGGCCAGCCTGGACTGAGTCAGGAACAAGGATGAGCATGCCAGTGAAACAATTAAGCAGGTGAAGGCACTGGCCTCTAAGCCTGATCTGGGTTCAATCAGTGGAGCCTGATGAAGACCAGAGCGGCCTCTGCAGAGTGATCCTCTTTGCTCACAGGGATCGTCCATACATGCCAAGAGTCCTAGATTGTGGCTCACATGTTGAGTAGTAAATTCTTTATAGGCTAAAACACTGGAGACAATTCTATAGCATTCTCAACATATGCTTACAGCCCAGTGCACCAGAATCAGAGGAATGTTAACTTGGGTTCCCATAGAGGTTTCAGCAAAGAGTCACATTTTTATAACTTAAATACATGCCCTGTAACATAAGGAACAAGAACAGATATAGTTACCAGGCAAATAGCAAGTGCATAGAGAATGAAACTCAGGTTTGTTCTTTTCTTAGACAAAACAAAACATAACAAAACCCACAACCAAATAGAAGACAGAAATTAGATAACTAAGAAGGCAAAGACGATTTCCCCAAATTCTTCAGATAAGTTTTTAAAATGTAGTTTCTCTAAAATACTTTGAAAACTTTTTATTATATTGAAAATATATACTCATAAAATTCAAGCATGCAATGTATAAATAAAAAGTGAATGCATTAGACTCATTGGAACTACTCCATTTGCTCTTAATACTCACAAATACATTGTGAACATCTCTCCATACCTGCACACATAGGCTTGCTTCATTAATTTAATGGGTGCATAATATTCCTCAACATGACTATGTTATAATGTACTTAATGAGGTGGTCTCAAGTTTTTCATTATAATGATAATATAATAAAGTTTTCCTGTACATAGTCAAACATCTGTGCAATTATATGCATGGGGTAGATTATCTCAGCATACTTGTTAGGCCAAAAGATATTCATAGTTATTATTTATCTGCAAAATAGTTTTCTTTGCATTTTATGATATGACTAGGTAAGAACAGAGGCAATCATTTTCAAAGCACTAAAGTAGAATTGAATATAAATTATTAATCTTTGAATAAGGAATATATAATAAAATAAGAATATAGGAAACATCCGAGTTTGCTTAGAGTAAATTTAGTTTTACATACCTCAATTTCTCCCAAGTGTAAGGGTCCTCCAGAATCTGAAAAGGAATTGATATATCTATTCATGAAACTGAATTTTTATAGTTTAATGAGGAACAAATACAAATTCCATAAATGAAAATAAATCTTACGGTAGCAGCGAATGTCCATAGCATGATATTCCCCTTTATGGTAGAAAATGACCACTTCTCTGTCATGGACAACAGCTGTCATTCTTTCTGACTTTCTAATGTCATCTTCTCTGCCAACACAGACAGAAGTGTACTTCTTTTCATCATCTTGTTCAGAGATTTGAAGGTCCATGCTATTTAGTGAGGAGAGAAAGAAGACAAGTCAGGAAAGGATGTGAGGAGGAAAACGAAAGAGAAAAACTGTGTTTTCTCTCTAGTCTGGATTTCTTGGAACTAATGGATGCATTTTTCTATAGGTATACAGAATAAAACATTTATAAGCACTAGATTATGCTCATCTTTACCTTGATTTAGGGACCCAACATCTGCTAAACCAAGGAAGACTTCCCACTATCGGGGAAGACATTAGTCACTTTCAATACTTAAGAAGGAACTTTTGGAGCAGATGCCTAAGCCTAAAGAGCCTAAAGCTTCACTGCACTTTCATTTCCTATCACAGTCAATATGAAAGAACATCCAGTTGTTCTTCGCACTGTTTTTGTCTGGTGAAGGAGTCCCATAGATTCTTGGATGCCCTGCTGCTCTGGCCACTTGAAGTGCATGAACACATGGCCAACTTTTGTTCATCCAACTAGATAACTACTCTGTGCAAGAGGAGAGAGGGGTGAATAGATTATTCCATTTTTACAAAAAGACACTAAGATGATTTTTTCCCTTTGGATAACTTATACAAGAGAATTGTAGACTATGCATTTTTTTTCTTAGAACAAATATTCAGCCTTTTTAATTGGAAAGTGACTCGGTAGCTTCCACACACTTTAAGACTATAATCACAGTCTGTTGACTCCATGTGAGCAGAACTAAAATGACAGCAGTGTTGAGACTTTAGGAGCCTACTGTGAGCTCACAAAGTAAGCTCACCCCTAACAGAAGATGTTACGGTACAGGGGCCGGTAGGTGCCTGGACTGTTTGTTACCTTGCAGCAGAGCTACTTCAATTCCTTTATTAGGTGAGAAAATGAAAGCTTACAACAGATGACAGAGGTTACAGTGCCACGGTAACATGTAATCACAACTGTTCACACTGACAGAGAAGCTGCTCAAGGAATGACTGCAGGTAATCTTCAAAGGCCACCACAGAATTACAAATGAGCTCTTTCCACATTCTCCTTCAGAGCTTTCTCCTCGTTATAGACATCATTTTATGGAGGTTTTCCAATCAATGACTATGTGATTGTCACTTTGGGAGTTAGGACATGCAAGCTTTCTGCTATCTCCAGGACTGTGTTCTACATAGTATGATTGATAGAGAATGGATATATAAATACGGATGACATTAAAGTAAATCATGATGAAATTACATTGGTTGACAGGGTGAGGAAATTTTGCAAAGAACTGTAGAGTAACTGAGCTAATCAAGTTGAAGCCCCTCCCCTAAAAGGAGCCAGATATGCAAAGCACTGGCAGAAGAGAAATCCATGCAAAAGACAGAGTGACAGCCTTACGGAGAGAAAAGGCTTGTTTAATCTGAGGAACCAAACATAAAGTGGAGGATAATGAGCAAGATTGGCCATCTCTTGGTTACAGGTAAGAGCTGGTTGTATCGCAATAGTGGTGACAGAGGCAAGGACAGCTGTTCTAGGAGCACTGGGAAGTCACCAGCATAGAAGTTTTACATGTTCCCACTTTAATGACAGTGCTCCAGGCTCTCTGGAAAGTGGGTGCTAACAGAACAAGTATGAAAACACAATAGAAAGCTGCTACAGTGAGGCACCACAGCCAGAGCGAGCTGGCTACAGTGTTTCTGATGTGGGAGGGAGAAGCAACCAATCCCTAGAGCAAGTCCCATTTACAGGACAGTAGAAGACAGCACAAGGGGCAAGACCAGTACAGAGAGGCGAGACCACACCTAATAACTGCTAATCAAATGACGATAATCTACTTTATCACCTGCCTCAAATTGCAGGTAGGTAATAACCAGAGAAAACAAAAGGCAGTCAATGAGGTAAATTGATGTAAATGATAAATTCATGTAAATTTGATAAATGATAAATTAAATGATAAAAATGATAAATTCAGGTAAATTCATGTAAATGATAAATGAAAAAAACTGGGGCTTCCCAGGAAACTATATTGTTCTAAAACTGGTTGTTAGCAAAATGTTCAGACTATCCTGCTTCCTTTCTATAAACTTACTTTTTTTAAAATTAAATAACCAAATATTGGTTATTATCTAAGTGAAACGTATAACCATTACAAGCCCCTTTTTAGCCTATACTTCTAAATTTTGTCTGGTATTTCATTCTGTGTATCAAAGGTAGACATTAAAAGGTAAACAAATCTGGCACGGTGGTGCACGCTTTTAATCCCAGCACTCAGGAAGGCAGAGACAGGCAGATTCTTGTGAGTTCGAGGCAAGCATGGTCTACAAAGAGAGTCCAGGACAGCCAAGGTTACACAGAGAAACTGTCTTGAAAAACAAAATACAAAAACAAACAAACAAAAAAGGCTAAAGAAAAAAATCAGGACTAAGAAATTATTCAATATTATCCACAGAGACAGTCTCAAGGGCTACAGGTCTGACTTACCCTCAAGAATAACATTTTATAACATGTGCCACTCCGCAGATGTTCTTCAAGATGCAAAGCAACGCAGCCAGATGTTTACAAGACATGCTTGGTTTTGAGCCAGGTCTCATGTGTCTTAGGCTGCCTTGCACCCCTGATCTTCCTGCCTCCATTTCCCTAATATTACAGGCCTTAGATACCACACCAGGTTAATGCAGTGCTTGGGATCAAATCCAGGGCTTGTGCATACATGGAAAGCACTCTAACAACTAAGCTATATCTCTAGCACCAAATGCTATGTGTACGTTTTCAATACCCAAATACTTATTTGATCATCTTAAAAGCCCTCAATGGATGTTTACATCGGACATAGCCTTCCAAATCAAAAATAAAATAATTCTAAAGATTTAGCAATCCTAGGTTTTAAATAATATCCTTTTTTTTTTTGGTTTTTATTTTATGTGTATGTCTGTGCACCACATGTTCATGCCTGACTGGGGCTTGAGGAGGCCAGGAGACAGCGTCCAATCCCTGGATCTGGAGTTAGAGAGGATTGTACATATCAGGTGGGTGCTGAAGTCAAGCCCGGTTCCTCTTCGAGAGCGGCCAGTGCCCATAAACCACCAGTCCAGCACAGCCAGTGCTCGTAAACCACCAGTCCAGCGCGTCCAGTGCCCATAAACCGCCAGTCCAGCACGGCCAGTGCCCATAAACCGCCAGTCCAGGGCGGCCAGTGCCCATAAACCGCCAGTCCAGCATGGCCAGTGCTCGTAAACCACCAGTCCAGGGCGGCCAGTGCCCATAAACCGCCAGTCCAGCGCGGCCAGTGCCCGTAAACCGCCAGTCCAGCGCGGCCAGTGCCCGTAAACCACCAGTCCAGTGAGGCCAGTGCTCACAAACCGCCAATCCAGCGTGGCCAGCGCCTGTAAATCACCAGTCCACAGCAGCCAGTGTCCATAAACCGCCAGTCCAGAGCAGCCAGTGCCCGAAAACCACCAGTCCAGTGAGGCCAGTGCCCGTAAACCGCCAGACCAGCGCCTTAGCACCTTTCAGTTTCACATTAGCAATATTATAATTGTATGAATTTTTTATGACAGTATAAGGTTTACAACTTTGCCTTACGCAGGATAAAGAATTAAATATGGAAAAGGAAATGAAGTGAATGAGAATGATGTCCCACATTATCAGTAGAAACTCCACTGCTATTAAACACAGCAAAAAGTATACTGTGAAATGCTCCTAGTGTTAAGAACGTACAGTTGTGTAAAACCGAAAACACTGTGAATCACACGTTAACGTCAATACTCCAGTTGTATGAAGACGACCCTCACAACCTACCTTCTAAACAACACTGATGCTGCCAGCTTCACAAGGAGTTAACACACCTTTTACTTGACCAAACAGGAAGCTACCCTCCTGGAGCCTTTCAGCCTGAGGCTACATTTTGCCGGTAAGTTCCCCACACATCCAATTTGTTTAATGGAGAACTTGGACCTAGATTATATGACTCCAACCCATCAACCTTACAATGCCAGGAGGGAAAAACTATGACTCAATTAAAAGCAAGCGTGCAAAAACAGAAAACATTTACTTAGAAATAAAATCTCTAGGCAGTTTATTAGAAGGGAGCTTTAGAAAAGGGAATTTACAGCCAGGCGTGGTGGCGCACCGCTATAGTCCCGGCACTCAGGGAGGCAGAGGCAGGTGAATCTCTGTGAGTTCAAGGCCAGCCTGGTCTACAGAGCAAGTACAGAAGAGCATAGGCAACACAGAGAAACCCTGTCTCAAAACACAAAAAGCAACAAACAAACAAAAATAATATTAAAAGAAAAGGGAATTTACTGACGAACAATGGGGCAACTAAGCCAGGTGGAAGTCTGAGTGCACCACAAGCCTGGGTTCTAGAACATGCATGAATGAAAGGAGAATGTCTGCACTGATAGGGTTCTCAGAACTGAGAGCTTTCATACAATGTATAAACTTTACACAAATTAAGTTTAGGAACTACTCTGGAATTTGCAGTCAACCCTTGCTCTAGTTACCCTAGATGGGCTGGGTTGAACCTCAGCTGACCAGCAAATGCTGGAGTTCTGTCCCCACCATGTGGGTTGGGGGTGGGTACTTAATTTGGCATTTGACTGTTGCGGTGGTTCTAACAGGAATGGCTCTCATAGACCTAGTGTTTGAATGCTTGGCCCATGGGGAGTGGTATTATTACGTGTGGCCTTCTTGGATGACGTGTGTCACTGTGGAGACAGCTTTGCGGTCTCATACAGTCTGACTGCATGCTGCCATGTTTCCCACCATGGTGATAATGAACTAACCTCTGAAGTACATGTCATCCTGCCTCAAATGTTTTCTCTCATAAGAGTTGCTATTGGTGTCTCTTCACAACAATAAAACCCAAACTAACACAACTGTTATTTGAAAAACTATGATATATGCTCTTTTACAGAATTATTCCACAATAAAATAAGCAAAAATAACTGTAACAAAAAAAGCAAGGGGCCAGGTGTGGTGGCACACATCTTTAATCCCAGCACTCAGGAGGCAGAGGCAAGCACATCTCTTTGAGTTCAAGGCTAGCCTGGTCTACACAGTGAGTTCCAGACCAGCCAGGGCTGTTTAATAAGACTCTGTCTTAGGAGAAATAAAAAGGTAAAGGAGATCATCACCATAATTTGGGGGTGTTTGTGGCTGATGAGAAGCTGGAAATTCCTGTATCTACGGTCATCTGGTTTGGGTTGATTTGGTCAAAAAAACAAATTCCTAGTGGGAACATTCACCCTCAGAGCTGGAACTACAGCCTTATCAGATTTCATGGAAAGAACACAAAGAAACCAAATGGTAAAAAAAAAAAAAAAAAAAGTGAAACAAGTAGAAAATGGGGAAATAGGCTGAAGTAAAAGGAAAGAAATTTTAATATGCAACACACATACCCTACAAAGTAAAATACAGGACATGTGAAGAACTGTGGACAGTAAATAAGCAAAGTGGTCAGAAGACATGAACAAAGAGTTCACAGATGAGGAATTCCTAGTGGGCAATAGATATGTGAAGATGTTTAACCTCATTGGGAAGATGAAAGCAAATGCAAAGCAAATCCCAAGCTAGAATATTTCCACCCCGCAAACTAGCAAAAACGTTAGAGAAGATAGGCAGGAATATGGCATAACCCCTAGGATGGCATAAGCTAGTCTCAGTGCATCTTGGCCTCACCCAGTAAAGTCTAACATTCATGACCCAATATCCCACTTGAGGAATGTCAGAAGAATGACCACACCAGCAAACGACAAGAAACAACACAGATCATTAGTTGTGGGGTGAATAATTTGTGTATTCATTCAGTGGAATGCTGTATAGCAGTAGAAATAAACTTGTTTATAAAATGTGAAAGTAAGCTTTCCTTTTTTATCATATGCGAAAGCACGTAGCAGGTCACTCACGAATGCATGCTTTTAAAATATTTCATTATTATTTAATTAGTCTTGGTATTCTGTCTGCAGGTAATCTGCACATTGCGTGCATGTCAGGTGCCCCAGGAGCTGGAAGGCAGCATCAGATCCCCTACAACTGGAGTTACAGACAGTTTAAATGACCATATGGATGCAGGATGCTGAGTTCACATTCTCGGGAAGAGCCGAAGCACCCTTAAGAGCTGAGCCATCTCCCTGGGTCCCATGAATACGTTTATAGGATAAACTTACAGAGAAAAGCAAGAGGATAATACAAATATTCTCAGAAATGTTCTTATTTCTTATAGTTAATGTTATTCTTTTTAGTATTCAAGTCGAATACTTTATATCTTTGTTGAAAACTCAAGAAAAACAGGGGTTTGTATCAAAGCATTTACCTCTGATTACAGGAATGAACTATTACAGAATTTTGTACAGCTTTTGTCAAAACGTAGTAGTAGATAAGAAGTTAGATATACACACACACACGAAAAAAATAACAAAATCTAATACATTTAGACTAACTCTAAAAGTTAATCATTCCTGACAACCAAACAAGTAAAACCAAACACAAGCCTCCCTCAAATTTCAGTGTTTGAACACAGAACATTTACAAGGTTTGCCTCCAAACAAGAACAATGTAGTGAACTTTGAAGGGACTGATAAGAAAGGAACAGGAAGGGCTCTAAGTGATAACAATTTCAGAGAATTATGACTATAGCCTTGCATATGCTTAGGAAAGTATTACTTTTCAAATAACAGTTTTCTTAATGTGTCATAAATGGTACTACTTTTGGTATGTGATGATTACTTAAAATTTACACTCACATTGTTCTTAATTAAATACTGTGAATATCACAATCCATTCAAACAATGAGTTCATGTGTTCACCATTAAGACTGTTTTGTTAATCTTGTTAATTAATTAATTTTGTTAATCTTATAAACTATTCAGGCAAGCCAACATATGCCTACATATTTCCTCCACTTTAATAATGTAGAACCTTTTTTAAGTATAGTGTTCTTACACTGGCAGAAAAAATTTACGTATTTACAGCATACAACATGATGTTCTGAAGCACACATACACTGTGGAATGACTAAGTTTAGCTAGTTAATAAGTGAGTTCCCATACATAATTAACATACTGTGATGAGAACAGTTTACATGCACTTGGCTTTTTCAAAAATCCAATATATTATTCACCACAGTCACCCTGTGTACAATAGAGCTAAAATAACAGATTCCTTTAACTAAATAAAGGGAAGCAGAAAGTTAGCCAGGTACCCTAACTGAGGAATAGATTTCCGTAAACTTTAGTTCTCTGTTCCACCATTCCCTTAAAAAAAAAAAAAAAAGTGGGGTTTTGTTTGTAGATCCCTAATATTAGGTTTCTTAAAGTGAGAATTTCATAAAATTACATATTAGCTAAGCAGATGTCAGTTTTAGACACCTTTCTAATGCAGACATTTCATTCAAGTGTACATTTACTGGAGATAAAAGACATGAAACTAAAGGTACTCACGTGTCGCTCCTCTTGAGCAATGACTATGATGCGCTTACTAAGAGTGGGGACTCGTATCACCCATTACCAAGCTTATCTCAAGGGTGACGCCCTCGCTGTTAGGCTCAGGGAGGGGAAATTCGTTAGTCAATTTTCTATCAGTTTGGCTGACAATACGTTAAGACCAGCTACATTTCTTGAGTGACTGACTACTGCTTGGACACTTTACAAGTAAATGTTCATTACTCACAAAAATTGAAGACTCATGAACTAATATGCTGTTTGTTCTTACTTTCGTTTAACTAGCAGCCAGCGATTTGTAAAAAACATGTGGCCTGAAAAAAAAAAATCATCTTGAAAGCCACAAAAACTGTTCAGCAAAAATGTGTAGAGATCTTCATATCGGTGTTGCATACATATTATCAAGAAAGATGGTTCTGAATTTAAATCCAGGAATGCTAATATACTAGACAGTGTTCATAAATATTTAAAGCTGAACACTTGCTAAACTTAAGTCATGCAGCGGAGCAAATTCTCGCCAGTGTCTGGTATTCAAGATTATCAGGAGGGGTCACCTGGATGGGAATCCCGGAATGCTGAATAAGCCTTCATCATAGAGTGTGGGCACGAAAACCGCTTTATTACAACGCAAATGCGCCTCTCCCATTTACAGCGACTCCAGGCAACTCCAGTTGGCTGCCATCGCCACGGCCTCTGGAGCTCGAACACCAGCTGCGCTGGCTAACAAGCCAGCCTGAAGCTGGAGACTGAGCGTCGCAACCACAGCCGTCCCCACCGCCCTCCCAGCGGAGAACATCTGGGGTGCGTGAGACTCCACAAGGATCAGCCTCCAGGGTTCACGTGCACAGTGCCTGCCCCGCTGGCGGCCGAGGCGTCTCGGTGAAGAGTGCACTGGGCTCTTCCCGGAAGAGCCACTACAGACGGCCAGTCCACGAGGGATCGCGCGCCCCAGACCAGACGCCGCGACCGCCGCCAGCCGCCGCAGGAAGTCCACGCCCGGCCCGGCGTCTGGCCGGAAGCAGCGCGCCGGAAAGCTCCGCCCCCGCCCCCGAACCCAGCCCCGCACCGCGAGAACCCAACCCCGCACCGCGAGAACCCAACCTTCAAAGCCGGGGTCCTCGCCCCAGCCCCTCCAGCCGCCTCCCGGAGTCTCTGCGCACGCGCCGGCGGAGGCGCGCCTCCCAGGGGCGGGGCAGGATCACGTGCTCGGAAGTACTGGTTCCCGCCACGCCTCTGAATCCCTAACTCTGGCCTTTCCAGCATCAGGGACATAATTTATTTTTAAAAAGACTATTATTGCTCTCTAAATTGTTGGTCTGTAGATTGGACGGTAAAGTATCCAGATTTCAAATTAAGTCAGCAATCTCATGCCTAAGAATGTACCTTGTAAAAACCCTTGGCAGAAGCCTCGTGACGCACGTAATCCATGTACAGGACTGTATATAGCAACGAAATAATACCTAGAGCGATCATCAGCTCAGGCAGTGGTTGGATAAAATACAACAGGGACGTACGAAAACTTTATAGCCATATACCGCATACCCAAAGGTCCAATTCCATGCTGTAAAAAACATTGGAAGACATAGCATATAGGTTCCCATGTATAATATGGTCTATTTAGTACAAATACATTATTGCTTGAGATGCAAACAAGCAGGTACGTATGTACACTTTTAAAACGTTTTATAAATTAGTGGTTTTAAGTGGTTTTCACTTTCAAAAATTTAACTGTCTATTTCCCTTTTTGTATTTACTTGTATTAAAAACAAAACAGTAAGAGTTCCTCATACTCACGCCCAGATGTGGAAGCTAAGTAAGTTGCAGCTTTACAAAAGTTCTCTGTAAACTGGCACATGGCAAGCACAGGTAGAGCCAGCAGCTGTGGGGGCCGAAGTGGATCACTTGAACACAGAGACCCATTTAAAAAAAAAAAAAAAAAAAAAAAAAAAGCCAGCAAGATGGTTCACAGCATAAACGCACTTGCAAAGCTGTCCACCTGACCTCTTACTCTGACCTCCTTCACACAGGCATGCTGTAGCATGCATGTGCCCTCTCACACAGAACAATAAAGATTTTACAAAATTAATTACACTTTGATGCAATAGCTCATAACCTTGGCTAGGCTCTAGATGTGCCTAGGAATTAAAAAAAAAAAAAAAAGTCTTTTGCCCTGTCTGTACTCCAGATCAATGAAGTAAAATCTTAGAAGGAATTCAATATATTTTTAACTTGCAAAAGTGATTCCACCGTGAACCTAAAATTGAGCATTATAACCTGTATTCAACATACTAACAGTGATTGGGACCTTTAGTGTCCCAAAGGACTGAGGTACCTGAAACTAGGGAATCTTGTTCATTTATTCTGGTGTGTTGCATGCAGTTTTTTTTTTTTTTCAAGGCAAAGTTTTGATATGTGGTGTAGGTTGGTCTCAAACTTGTGAGCTCAAATGAGTCTCTCAAATTACCCTCCAAATCTTTCAAATCATAACACCTACAGATGTGAGCCACCATGTTTGGCTTATAAATAAAAACTGAGACCCAACAGGTAAGCACAGAGAAGTCCAGGATAATAGCCCATTGTTAGTATCCCTGATGCTATTATGTTCACTGTATAGTTTTAGGGTGACCACTAATATTTTATAGAACCATTTGGTTCACTTATCAAACAGGGTAATTATCTAGTTTTGATATATCATTTAATAAAGTCACAAACATTGGAATTAAATAGTATTTGCATTATCTACTGGCTGCCTTATTTTTTTAATATTCATTTTATGTGTCTGTATGTGTTCCTGAGTGTATATATGTGCCCCACATGCATGTAGAGGCCCTCAGAGGTCAAAAGAGGGCATTAGGGCCTTTGAAACTGGAATCACAAGGGGTTGTACGTAAGCTGCTGTGTGTGTTGGGAATTGAAGCTGAGTCCTCTGCAAGAGCTCCTAGCAAGTTCATCATCTCTCCAGGCTTGTTCCAAATTATCTTCTTGACACATAGAGCACATTAGCAGTATCCAGCTTGTGGCATCAAATGGTTAGATAAGGATTTTAATTAGAAATGAAAAGTTTTCTTTTGCTTATTCTAATGTGACATTTAAATTTTTTTAGCTACTTTATGTGTATGAGCATCTTATCTATGTGTATGTCAATGTACCATTTGTGTGTCTGCTTCCTGAGGAAGCCAGAAGAGGACATTTAATCCCCTGAGACTATAGGTATAGACAGTTGTGAGCAGCCATGTGGATGCTGAGAATTGAACTCAGATCCTCTAGAAGAGCAGAATGTTCTTAACCACTGAGCCATCTCTTCAGCCCATAATCTGACATTTTTTTAAAGTGATAAATATTTTAGATCCATTGGCCTTCAATCTGTTTCTAACATACATACATAACATACATTCAACATACATAGCATGAAGAGAAATTTTTCTTTTTATCTTTTCAAAAGTATTAATGTAGTAGTTGGTCTTGTGATAATAATAAATGCTGTAATGGATAGAAGAACAAATCCTTACTTCCCAGGTGCACACACATGAACACACAAAATCATGTGTGCATTAGGTACTAGCAACAGCCCTTAAATCTATGTAAAAGTCTTTTCAGCTGAGTGGATTTCACAACTCCCACTGCTCCCTCTAAGTGTACCTGGGACCATCTTAGGGCACCTTCTACTTTTCTTCTTATAAATGGTTTACATTTTCCCTACCTCTATTCATTCTCCCTCCCTCCCTCTCTCCCTCGCTCTCATTTCTAACCTTAGTCTTCTGGTGACACCCAGTGGTGGCTGGGAAGTCATGCACACCACCCTTTCCACTGTATTCTGGACTCGCAGGCACAGTTTCGAGTGTCACTTCTGAACTTCGGAATGTCCGAGCCCTGCATATTGAGTGATAGGCTGCTTTTAAGCAGATTTTCCAGTACCACGCACTTCCCCTTAGAGAATTTAGACACTGCCTTCATTAGTTTTGTGAGCTGGTGAAGGCTGAATGCTACTAGTTTTCACTACAGAGAGGTTTAAAGAATATTTGCCAATCTGGGTTCCCTACATCCTCAAAACAGATATTTATGCTGGTGCTTTTGTGATGCAAATAAGAAAAAAATAAATGAGGTATTCTGTCTTACTTTTCTATTTTGTGTAAAACCCCAAGACCAAGGCAGATTATAATAATAATAAAAAAAAAAAGCATTTAACTTGGCTTACAGTTTCAGAGGGTTAGAGTCCATGATGAAGCAAAGGCATGTGGGTCTCTGCTGGATAAGGTTGAAGTCTGACATCTCCGGATAGCCATTTATTTGTTCTTGGTCTATGGTGACAGACTCCCTTTTCTCAGCAGGGTTCTAAAAGCCTCCCCTGATCTGGGTGACTCCAGGTCTTGTAAGGAGTGTTATACAACCCTTGGGGCACATTACAGAGCCTTTCCTGATAAGGTTCAGCTAACTATGTATTCCTAGAAATGACTCACCTTGCTGAGGATCTTAGTCTTAATCAGTGACCTTTATTTGTACTTAGACTAATTAAGTACTGTATTCTCTTTCTTGTGATAGGACCATGCTCCTGTATGGAAAATGAGGCACTATACCACTACATGCAAATCAAGTATCCCTGACCGCCTGACCCTGGCTTATCAAACATGTTCACCCTCAAAATCTCTCCCACTGCACTGCTCAAAGATTGATAAATGCCTGATTTCAAATAAATGAGCTGCTGGGGGTATATGCATGCTGGTGACTGGCTGGGTGATACAATCAGCCTTCCACTATGAGACCGCCTGAGACTCTGCAATCAGCCCCGCCAGCCACATCTCACAGGCCTTACCCTACAGCCTGCTGAGCCTGGGACTCACCAGGCCTGTGCCTCAGCTGCAAACCAACTAGGCGTGGGCTTCCCTCTCCTGCACTCCCCCACCTTTGCTGTACATAGCACAGCAGTGTAACCCAGCTCTCTAACACTTTGGTATCACCATGGTTTTGGAATGCCGGAGCTTCCATTGCCACTGGTGATCTCATGCTAAAAGAGCTAAACTGTAACGCTGTGGAAAACCTTTTCTACACCCTGGCCTAGCACATGGGCCTTGCTCTAAAGCACTCTAGCTGCTCCTGAGAAAAATGGAACACCCATTCTCCCTCTGGAGGCTGAGTTCCAGGCCTGCCCCGAGCAGAAAACGACAGGCATGGTGACAGGAGGTTGAGAGCTCACATTTGATCTGGGAATAGGAGGGAGAGAGAGAGAACACTTGGGAATGTCATATCTTTTGAAGCCAGTGATAAACCTCCAACAAGACTACAACTCCTAATCCTTCTCAAGTAGTTCCAAAGTGGGGACAAAGCATTTGAATATATGTATGAATTTATGAGGACCATTCTTCTTGAAACCAGCACAGTGTTTTTCAGTGCATCTTATCTAGTATAATACTCAAACCCCTTTCTCTTCATCACACTTCACATTTTTCCCAGAAGCCATGAGAAAAAGAGTGCTGATCACCCAGAATGCTTCTAGACTAACAGAGAAGAGCTTACTAGAAGCTTTGGCAGTTACATTTTCACCTGTCACAAGAATGAGCCACACTACAGATAGAGGACCTCCACCAACGTGGGCCCCAAGTAACTACGGGTAACAAAAATCTCATACTTCTCCATTTCCAA